GAGATTTTTTTATTGATAAAGGTAGACAAACTTATGAGTAATCTTGTATTACATTTTCAAATCTTAGATTTAAAAAGAAAAATTTTTACGAATTCATAACTCAAAATAATTTACTAATTTTCGTGATTTTTCCATATTTTGTCAATTTTTGAACTTTAAAGGCTTATAAAAAAAAACTGTGACTAACGATTTTTAATATTTTTCATCTGCCTTTGAAACAATAAACTAGAAGCCTTCTATTAAATTTTCAAGTTTTTTTAACCAACAAATAAAATTTTATTGATATTTCTAGAAAAAAAACTAAAAAAAAAATGAAAAATGAAAATGTCCCTAAACAGTTCAAAATAAATCAAAATATTTTGAAAATATTATCGTGTATAGAAAATGCAAATATAAAAAACCAGTGAAAATTTCATGTATCTACCTACGGTCATTTGTTTTAAAGTTACACCGAAAACCAAATTCAATTTTCTGAAAAATCGATAAAAAATTCCCGTTTTTCCTTAATTTTTCTTTTGTTTTTCTTGGCGCTTTTGAAAAGTACTGGGAATTTTAAATTTTGACCTCCCCAATGCACCAACGATATTCACTTTCCAATCGAACAAGATACTGAAGTCGAAAATCGAAGCATTATTTCGACTACTTATCGTGTACACAGACACAAAAAAAATAAAAATAAATAAAAAAATAAATAAACACACATCATTGTAAAATCAATACATTCATCGTTTCACTCAGAATCTAAAATATTAGAAATACATAAGCCCGTTTTGTTTTATAGGCATTTAAAGTTCAAATTTCTACAAAATTTATCACAATCTACGAGTCCTATGATATAGATATTAGGAGAGCAATAGAAGTTGAGAACCTATGTTACACTAAGTTAATAGTTACTTATAACGTTGGATTTGAAAAAACCAAGTTATAAATTAAAATTGTATTTTATGACTATTATCAGTTAAAACATACGTTTCTATAAATTAAACCAAAACATATGTCTTCTTCAAGTAAACAATTTTCATATTCACCTATTAATTACAATTATTCTTCGACCGGGGACTGGAAAAACAATTTATAAAATATGCGTCTACAATAACACATTTTTCGTGACATTAAATATTTATCTTTATTCTTAAAAGTAAATTTAAGCCCCAAAAGTATATGAAAACAAATTTACTTTAAACATCGATTCTTTCGACGGAATCCGTGACGTGTGTTCACTGCGAGGCTGACGAGGAAAATCTCCATAATAATATACAGAACTTAAAATATTGTGATTTATGAAAAATAAAATTATACGAAACGCATCTGCTTTGCTTATTGAAATTTTGGAATTTTTAATGACGACTGTGTCCTCTGCAATGACTGAGATTTGCCATGGAATATAAATGATAGATATTATACTAGGTAGGTACGTCAATATGATGAATCCACGGATATCATATAGGTACCTAACGCAACTTTTTATGACAAAGAGTTCCGTGTTAAGGAACAATATTTGTTCGTTGAAATTTTATATTATGACAAAAACAAAATAGTTTATAATTTTGAATTTCAATTATAATAATACTAAATATGATTTAAATATTATATATTATAATATTATATTATATTTTTTATTATTTTAATTATTATTTTCGTTTCTTAATTTAATTATTTATTAAACCATTAATATGGTGAATGTATATCATAACTCAGAAGTACAAGCATATGTTTATAAAAGCATAATAATGTATTAAAAAATCATTAAATGAAAATGTGATTCCTGGATTTTAGAGTTAACACAAAGATATACAGTGCCTAAGTACATTAAATTTACAGTACCTTCCATAATACCAACTAGATTTGTAAAATTCCAAGTCTAACATTTCATACGAATACTGCTGATCACAAAATTATTAATTATTATTTAATATTATGTTAATTTAATTGTGTCGGGTACCTATAATTTATATTTTAGATTCTGAGCGGAGGGATGAATATTTTGATTTTACTATGATATATTGATATGTATTCAATTTTTAATTTTTTTGTTATTATTTTTTTTTGTGTTTGATGCGTACACGATAAGTAGGTAGTCAAAATAAACATTATTTTGTGTTCCATGCATAATATATTATAGGTACTCTGTATGTAATCAATGATCATAGTTTTATTTTTAAGTTTCTTTGTATTTAGTAAATAATAATATAGGAAATTCTATTTTCGAACATTAATTTTTTGTTTGTATCAAATACTTTCACCATAATAGGGAACTAAAATTGTCATTTATCGTTAAAACAACAAATTTTGTGAAAAATTCAATTTTGGTTGGTAAGTGTTTTGTGTAGGCATAATAAATGTTAAATTTAAATTAAAAAAATTCAAAAAAATACATTAATTGGATTATTAATTAGAATATAGGTACTACAACTACAGTTTCCAGTTTCTACTACAACATTACGTTATAATAATATAATAATAATATTATTATGTTTTTAATTATAAAAATGCCTAAAAATAAAACGTAAATCCCAAAATAATATGAAAACAAACTTACGCTGAAACATCGACTCTTCCGGTGAAACCTAACTAGAGTGAATCAACAATGCAAACGTCCAGTACGTGACGCCACCGAGGAGACAGCTATCTTCATCTCGTTCCGAACTGTAACTTGAAATTATCGAAATATTTTATGAAAATTACGAAACATAACGAAACGTGCGAATTCATGTTAAAACTTACATAATAATATATACGGCTTAACGAACTATCTGTCCATATTGATGGCTTAATATTTTTTTTTTTAACTAAAATTATTAGAATTGTTAATCGTCGCAGACGAATGTCGACAATTGGCGATTGCCATAGATGATATAAAATACATTTTTTAATATGATAAATCCATAGAATTAGAATATCTACACTCAGCACATAAACGGTCTATTGATAAATCGTGTGTTCTTTTACAGAAATGATTGTGGTCTGCAATGTATTCTTGTTTTCTATTTCAGTTATTACTTATTTATCGCTTACTAAATTTATCCAAACAAATTAGTCCGCAAATTTATAGACATCACAAATATATAATATAAATTATAATTTACAGTAGGTAGCTTATATCTGTGATAGACATTCTAATATCTAAAGCATTCTCCCGCCGGAGGCCATACTCCATAGACCCAGTCAGGGTCGGACTGGCCAATATAACCGACTAGCCATAGCCAGTAAGGCCCCCTTGTGTGTATGACTATATGGGGCCCCATCTAATGAACGGAAAAATCATAAGTATAAAATATATGAACTGTACATTTATATAATATATTATATTTGTTTAAGAATAATCAAACATAAAAACAGTGTAGTTTAGACGGACAAAACATGTTTGTGACGTCTCAACGTTTCTGTTATCGTCTCATCGGCGTCAATTAAAAATAATAATAATATATATGATTGATCAATATTGGAATTTTAGAGGTATTTGTTTTTAGAACTGAAAACCTATTCTTATTGCTTTGAGGAATACTTCAATCGGTAGGTACACAATGATACGTATATATCCTTGATTTATAAAAATATAAAAATTGTATTAAAAATGATATTGTTATTTCAATATTAATTGTTTATATTGTGTCTTAACAATTAACACAATGTGTTTGATTCTATAGGTAAATACTATTCTATAAAGCCTCCTACATTTTCCTCCTTGTCTTAAATTAATAAATAACATTTTTAACAACTATCAAAATAGGTAGTTACCAAAAATTTTGATAATTTATTATAATCGATCTCTAAAATATACTATAAAATAAATTGTAAATAAATTGAACTAAAGAAAACAGTAAATAAAGATAAATATGGTGTTTTGAGTAACAATTGTAAATTATAAAGTTTATTTATGATCATTTTTTGCGAAAAAAAAATTATCAAATTTACAAGAGAGTTATTATTTATCACTATTGTTGACTGTTTAGGCCCTCTCTATAAGTAAACTGCCGGTGGGGCCCTTAGTACCCAGTCCGACTCTGGACCCAGTTCAGGGGAAGTTAAATTTTTACATACAAATTTATAAAAAAAAAGGTGGCTGGGACAAGGAACTTTATGAATTTTAAACTGATAAATAATTTACAAAATAATTTTCTCATGACTATAAATAGCTCAAACATTTTACCATGTATGGAAAATTCAAGTATAAATATTTTTTACTTTTTTTGTTACAGGTGGAAAAATGTATGTAAGTTCACAAAATTTATGTAAGTCCACAACAAACATAAGTTGTTTAACTTACCCTACCAATAATATCACTATATAAAATAATTAAAAGTGATAATTTGAAGACAATTTCTTAAAACCCTAGAATAATTTTTTAATTTAGTGTCTAAACCATATATAGTTTAGCACCCAACAAATTTGTCTACAATATTTATTTTAAGTTTTTTTAATGCCAAGTTAATCCAGTTTAAACTATTTAATTAGATTTATTGCCTAACCAAAGTTTGGTAAATAAATAATATTTTGAAAAATGTATGTTTTGTTGAATATTATTACCTAATAGAACAATATTATTAGGATTATAAAATTCAATATTTAATGCAATGAGTCTAGAGGGCTCTATTCAGAATAAGAATATATACCACGCTTTATCATTGTGCGCTATCACCGATGTTGATATTTGTCACGGGTAGAGCAAGAACATGCTAGTGGGATAGATGAGTGAAGAGGACGTGTTTTTGTTCACCATCGGGTATATTCTTATCCTGAATAGAGTATAAATATATGCCAATCATTTTTATTGTTCGCATTTAGAATTACAAACTTTAATAATTTAGTATAATATATTGTCTCTTAATACTAATAAGTATTGTTACTCTATTTGTATAATGTATTATTTCATTTATAATATGACATACTGTCTTAAGATAAAGTGGATAACATGATTTTCTGATTTTCTAATAAATAAATATTGATCATATATACATATATTTTATTTATAAATATAAATGTTATAATGTAAGTTGTTTTTATCCAGTTGCATAATTTGTACCCAACTTAAATGCAATTTCAACCATATTTTGAGGTATGCCTTCTTCATAACAAACGTATAACTCTCGTTTATTTGGTTCTTTGAATAATCTCCTAAAAATATTTATACATTTGTATATACATTGTTAAATAATTATCTTGAAGAAAATACTTACCCCATGACCCAGAATGTTATCATGGAAGATTTTTTCGGAGAATCTGTATTTGGTGTAGGTATTTGAAATAAAACTCCTATCTCATTTATTTCATTTTCATCCTAGAACATAATTTAAAACAATTATAATTTATAACAAACTAGCTCAACATTGCCAATGCCAATGATTGTATTTTTATATTTTTTATAGTTGTAAAAAAATATAAACGCTATATTTCTTCTAATTAGTAATTATAATAGAAATATAATATGTAACCAATAGCGTCCATTTGGATAACAAAATAAAAATCATTTTGTGAACTACTCTTTAGCTATCTCTAGGAGTTGAAAAAATAAATTATAAAAAAATCTATTGGTATGACTTATTGAAAACGGTCCAATAGATTTTGAGTGAATTAATTTCAGATGGACCAACATCCTTTTTTATCTAAACTTTGCCCATGGAAAAATATAAGACATAGTGCTGTATAGGTGTTTTTTGGTTTTGGTGTACCTCACTTTGAGAACTAATTTGAACAAGATGGACAATTCGCCTGTAGAAATTAGTAGAAAACCTGTAGAATACCTACCCAGATTGAATCTACTGGGTTCAATTTTGAATCTAAACCATTCTGGGACTCACTCAAACACAACCAAAAAATTTCATCGAAATCAGTTCAGCCTTTTAGAAGTTCAATGACACACTGGTACACAAGAATAACTTTATATATATAAAATTTATTTTTCTTAGCATTTATACCTGATTCGAATTATCGAATAAATCTCGTATTACAGTAACGGTTGAATTAAATTTTTCATCAATATTTTTAAATATGTCTTTGGTTTTTAAATTTTAACTTAATTAATTAATAATCAATTAATAATTTAAAAAAAGTAATAATTTACTTATTTGGTAATACTGGCAAATTCTTTATAACATCGGTCATATCTACTGACCGTGAGCCATCCTAAATTTAAAAATTATTATTATTAGTATTTTGAGTATTCATTATTCACTAATAAAATCATTTATAATATTACTGAAACAGTATATTCATCTTCAGAATTATCAGACCACTCAATTGATGAAGCTTTCATCATACGTTCAGCTCGACAACCAAAGACTGGACCTTGCACATACATGCTGTCTTCTGTGCTTGGTGCTCCACTACTTGTTAAACTTGTTTCTGAACATGAATCCAACTGTCTAGAATCTGTTTTAAAAAACAATTTTGAAATATCTGATTCAATATACCATTTAAATTAATCTATATTTTAAACTTACCATTTAATATTTGTGAATTTGATGTTATGTCATTTTTGTGTTTTAATATAGAAATTATTTCTGGTTTTTTTAACTGAAAACCTGAAAAAATTGTATTATTATAACCTAAACAAAAATTTAAAAATAATTTATTATTACTTGACTGCTTATTATTTGCAAGCATGTTTAGTCCTGCATTTTTTAAGGATTCTGTTTGGTATATTTGCATTATATTACCTTCAATCCTAAAAAATAAAGATAAATTACTAGAATATACAAAATGTAATATGATGTACTTTTATATATTAAGGCCATTACAGTTATGGATTACATATTGTAAATATATTATAAAAACACAGATTTCGATTTTTTAATCTCTGATTTTGTAATATTATTTAGAAAAAAGGTGCTCTGCTGTACAGTAGGTTACAAGTGGGTAGATGTATAATGGATGGTATTAAATTTGAATTCAATGATACAATATCATTGTATAAGAAAAACGATTCTGAGCGGAGACAATATGTCAGTCTAGGTATAAGACATATTATATACATATGTATGGTATTAAAAAAAAAATTGACCTATAATAGGTACCTATAATAAATTCCAAATTAATCATATCACAATATCCATAAGGTACTTATAACGCATTATACATCAACAACAAACCCTGATACTATCATAGAAATATAATAGTGTACTTTAGAAGTTTCAAGTACCCACGAATGATAACAAATGATAACAAATGAAAAACAATACTGCCAATGATTATCTCATTAAAGAATGATGATACAGAGGGCACCTGCTTTTTAACAATATTCAAGTCTATCCAAAAAACTCAACTAGAGTCAAATTCCTAAAAAAAAAATTGAAGGGGAGTGTTGGCGCCCGCAGGCGAATGCATTTTAGAAAACCAAAAAAAAATTTAGAAAAAATTATACAGTAGACAAACACATATCAATGAGTTCAAACTACAATCTTCATATTCATAAACAGAAAAAACCAATCCACAATGATTACCTAGCTCTCGTTTAAGAATTCCAATACAGAGGGCACCTGCAGGTTATCAAAATTCAACAAGAGGCAAATTTCTAAAAAAAAAATGAAAGGGAGTGTTGGTGCCCGCAGATAAATGCATTTTAGAAAACCCCAAAAAAATGTAGAAAAAATTATACAATATTAAGGCAAATTGAAGAGGTCAAACTAAAACGTCCAGAATCCAAAACAGAAAAAACAATCCTGCCAAAGATTAGCTCATTAAAGAATGATGATACAGAGGGCACCTGCTTTTTAACAATATTCAAGTCCATCCAAAAAATTCAACTAGAGTCAAATTCCTAAAAAAAAAAATTGAAGGGGAGTGTGGGCGCCCGCAGGCAAATACATTTTAAAAAACCCAAACAAAATGTAGAAAAAATTATACGATATTAAGGCATATTGAAGAGTTCAAATTAAAACGTCCAGAATCTTAAACAGAAAAACAACTGACGATGATTAGCTTATTAAAGAATGATAATATAAAGGGCACCTGAAGGTAATCAATGATGTCTGTGCAAAAAATTCTACTAGAGTCAAATTCCTAAAAAAAAAAATTGAAGGGGAGTGTTGGCGCCCGCAGGCAAATGCATTTTAGAAAACCAAAAAAAAATGTAGAAAAAATTATACAGTAGGCAAACACATTAAAGAGTTCAAACTACAATCTTCTGATTCATAAACAGAAAAAAACAATCGAAAATGATTACCTAGCTCGTTTAAGAATTTCAATACAGAGGGCACCTGCAAGTTATCAAAATTCAACTAGTCTCAAATTCCTAAAAAAAAAATTGAAGGGGAGTGTTGGAGCCCGCAGGCAATTGCATTTTAGAAAACCAAACAAAAATTTAGAAAAAATTATACAGTAGGCAAACACATATCAATGAGTTCAAACTACAAACTTCTGATTCATAAACAGAAAAAACAATCGACAATGATTACCTAGCTCGTTTAAGTATGTCAATACAGAGGGCACCTGCAGGTTATCAAAATTCAACTGACGATGATTAGCTCATTTAGGAATGATAATACAGATTGCAAATGCAAGTCATCAATATTCAAGTCAATACAAAAATTCAACTAGAGTCAAATTCCTAAAAAAAAAAATTGAAGGGGAGTGTTGGCGCCCGCAGGCAAATGCATTTTAGAAAACACAAAAAAAATGTAGAAAAAATTATACGATATTAAGGCATATTGAAGAGTTCAAATTAAAACGTCCAGAATCTTAAACAGAAAAACAACTGACGATGATTAGCTTATTAAAGAATGATAATACAAAGGGCACCTGAAGGTAATCAATGAACATGTCTGTGCAAAAAATTCTACTAGAGTCAAATTCCTAAAAAAAAAAATTGAAGGGAAGTGTTGGCGCCCGCAGGCAAATGCATTTTAGAAAACCAAAAAAAAATTTAGAAAAAATTATACAGTAGGCAAACACATATCAATGAGTTCAAACTACAATCTTCTGATTCATAAACAGAAAAACCAATCCACAATGATTAACTAGCTCGTTTAAGAATTTCAATACAGAGGGGACCTGCAAGGTTTCAAAATTCAACTAGTCTCAAATTCCTAAAAAAAATTGAAGGGGAGTGTTGGCGCCCGCAGGCGAATGCATTTTAGAAAAACAAAAAAAAAAATTAGAAAAAATCATACAATAGGAACACATATTGAAGGGTTCAAACTAAAATGTCCAGAATCTTAAACCGAAAAAACAACTGACAATGTTTAGCTCATTAAAGAATGATAATAAATAAATAAAAAACAAATGTATTGAATGGTGCTCGTGAGAGAAACTAAAAATCTACTTTTATAAAGTAAGTATACAGTTACTTAGTGTTTTCCATGGTATAATCGGTTAATGCTTAAAAACGTTTGTACAAAAAGATCTACTAGAGTACAATGAATGGAAAAAATTAGACTATGAGGAACCCATGTGAATTAACACTAAACAAAAGAATACGCTGGAAGGTACATTTTAACTACAACCCAAAAACTAGGTGTTGCTTACATTATAATAAACGAATAGTTATTATGATCAGAGGTGTATCACTGTAATATATGTATTAGAAAATGTATAAAAATGAATGTAATTTATTAAGGATGCAAAATAATTAAATGAAAAAAATGTCCTTTACGGACTCTACCATGTGATTTTAATTTATGAAGGACATAAAATAATGTTTAATTTAAAATAATATTAAGTTATACATTTTATATTTAAAAACTAATAAGTATTTAAAATCTCATAAAAACCTAATAAAATTATATTTTATTATATTTTAAAATACATATTATTATTATTTCGTTGTGGTGAAAAATCATTAATTAAAGTTGGCTGTATTTAAGTTTTTAATTATACTGGTACAACTCTAGCTGGCAGTCTTTAAGACCGTGTTAAAAACTATGATAATTAGTTACGTCTAATTTCCTCTATTCTCCTAACCTAACCTAAAATAACCATTATTTAAATATTTTCTTTCATTGTTATGTTTACAATGAGAATATCAAGTTGAGTGTGTAAGGGACAAAAGAGGATAGAATAAGACATTGATTAATTTAATGTAGTGTAGGAGTGACATATATATTTAAGTGAAAACAGGAGATACTAGGTTGAGGTGGTTCATTCACTGTATGATAAAAGGTAGTGAGAGAAGCTAACAGATGTAGGTAAATGTAGGGGGAAAGTGAGAGGTGAGATGACTGAAGACAGAAGAAGTGATGGGTAGAACAGATGATATTATGGAGGTGCAGGAAAACAGGGTGGCTGAACCTGTATAGTTGTGTGAGGAGGGGGAAGAAAAAGTGTGAAGGTAGTATAGTTAGGTTGACAATACCGAATACGTAGGAAAGGATCTCGAATCGCAAAGGCCACTCGACTCTTTGGCTGAAACTACCGGCGGTAGGTTTACAACCTAGACTTATGGGATAGAATAAAAAGATCGGTTGGTTGCCGGTTGGGATGTCAGAGCACTATTTCTTTCCATCTTTGACCCACGCGAGGTAACATCATAGGCGCTATTGGGGGATGAGGGGGGGGTATAGGGGCGGGCTTATAGCCTAATAAAAAAAATTATGCGGATCTGTATTGATTTCATGAAGTAGCCAACCCGTACTATGTAGCGAAGTACGTTGGCTACTTTATGACATTTTACTATTTTAGTTATTATATAAGTTATGACTTATTAGCGTGTAAATTCAAGTCACGACAGTCTCTCTTTTATACTTTTAACAAAAGAAATGATATATATACTATTTTTGATCTAACCTAATCAGACGACCGCGCACGTCTATCTAATATAACTTATTAGTATTGTACATTTCGTAATAAGTTTTTTTTTTTGAATGATTTTTTTTTTTTTTTTTGAGCTTGAGCCCAGCAACTTTGACCATTAGCTGGTTTTTTTGCTTGTAGGTTGTTTGTAGTGAGTAGTAACGGTTGGTTAAAACACGTTAGTATGTGTGGCAACTATTTGTTGCTAAAAATTCCGGGTGGTCACCCATCCGGGATCTAGTAACAGCGGCCGATACGTACACTTAACACCTTTCCGCAATTATAATGTCCAGATATTCACACTAAGCCAAAGAATATTGACGTTAATACAAATCTTGTACTAATGTCTCTCCACCTAGTGAGCTGGCGACAGGCCACGTCGCTCTTTTTACTTTTAGAACAATTATCTATTAGGTACTCACTAGTGAGCTGGCGACAGGGCACGTCGTTTTTTTTACTTTTAGAACAATTATCTATTAGGTACTCACTAGTGAGCTGGCGACAGGGCACGTCACTCTTTTAGAACAATTATCTATTAGGTACTCAATTAAGTCTTTAGATTTACAAATGATTTATATTTTGTAGACGGGATAATTTTAAAGAGAGACTGTGTGACGTACAGAATATTGTGCAGCCAATAAATATGTGGTCTGCTGTGTACATTTAAACATTTGTTATAATATATTATGCATTTGAACATTTATTACAATTTACGATTATTGTACCTACATTAATTTCAATATAGATTTTTTTTTTACACTAATAAATTATAGTATTATCAAAGTCAAATTAGAAAAAAGTTCGGAACTAATTCCACGAAAGCTGGATTTTTAAGGCATTTTTATAATTGCAAGTTTTTATGATGTTTTTTATTTATG